CCACTTGGCAACCCATGCTGTGGTAGGCATCCCACATATAAAATAGAAAAAGATGGGCAGGGATGTTAGCTCAGGGCCAGTCTTCCTCAGCGAAAAGAGGAGGATCGGCGGCACATGTTAGCTCAGGGCTAATCTTCCTCAAAAAAAAAAAACCTCAAAACTGCCCTTTGGGCTTCTCGACTGCTAAATAATTGTTCAACAAAGAGAGAAATATTTCAGAGACAAGGAAGTCAGCCCACAGGAGTGTGAGACAGGAATGGAAGTGGGGAACAATAAGAGTATACTGCTTTTTCAAACAGCTTGGGAAAAAGAAGAGATAGAAAGAGAATAATAACTATGAGGACGAGGTTTAAAAGATAAGAGTTTTCAGAATGGATAGTATTTGAGTATAGTTTCAGGCTAAGGGGAGAATGATGTTAAAACAGATGGAACACAAAGAAAAAAGAATAACTGATGGGAGTAAGGGTTGAGAGGAAGGGAGAGAAAGAGGTTTGAAAAAAACCCACGTAGATGGAGTTAGTCTTGAACAGGAAGAGAATCTCATCTTACAAATCATTTTCTAAGACTGAAGGGAGGGCAGATTCAGACTCAGGGTGAGGACAAATAGGAAGTTAATAAAGGTCATAGAGGACGGCCTCCTTTTTTTCAGTGTGAAGTCCTTTACTGTCCTCTTCTGTCCCTCCACTCAATCCACAGCAGTTCGATGAGGACAAGGAAACAGAGCGAGACGCCATCCAGGTAAAGCAGGTTAGGAAGACAAAGGAAGGAAGAGATACACTGGGAGAAAATGAAAGTTATTTCAGTGATGCCCAAGAATAAATGCAGCAAATACTTGTGCTTTTTCTCCTCCATGCTTTTGCTCACGATTATTTTTCATCAGTAAAGAATGCCCTTTCTCTCTCCCTTACTCAATCTTATCTATAATAACTCTTTTTCTTTCCCTTATCAAATCTTATCTATAATAACAAGACTTGTAATAATACACTTAAAATAGGCTTACTCTGTGGTCAGACACCATTCTAAGAATTTATGCATATGAATTCATTTAATCTTTACCACAATCTATGAGATAGGTACTATTTTTATCCCTGTTTTACATATAAGAAAAAGAGCATAGAAAAGCAAAGTGACTGCTCAAGGTCACAGAACCTCGGTTGATTCCAAACCTTGACATGTACTACAAATGGGGATACACAGGCAGAGATTAGTGATCTCCTGTGCTTTCTGCAGGGTAGCTGGAGCCCCAGGTCCCCTTTGGCCATGAGCAGCTTCCTCTAATTACCCTGCAGAGCTGTACAAACATTACCATTTTCTATTTGGACCATGATTCAAACAAAAGAAACAAAATGATTGGGATGTGTTATTTTAAAACACAGCTCAAATTCCATCTATTCCATAGTCTTCCCTGACCACCACAGACTGAAATGATCTTCTCTCTTACATGTATTCCATTACAATTAAAAACTAGTGATTATTTAACATTTGAGACAGCTTATACCACTTAGTTGGTGAAAGCAAGACTGTTGGCTCAAGTAAGATCATCTAAGTTCTTTCCAGCAACATAAGTTTAGCTTCTCCTTTCCGCTGCTGTCATGAATTGTTATTTAAATCTTCCATTATTATTTAGGTTTTCCTGGGTATATGTAGACGACTCACAAACGACTTGAGAGCAAAGATCATAGTGTATAACTCGTTGGACAATGCACACAGGTGCATTCTATCAAATATGCATATAAAATAATTTATCCAAGAAAGTGCCTAAAGAAATTCATCTTGTATATACCAAAACTAAAACTCTTTCCTGGATTCACTGTCTCCAGTTTAATTAACCTCTGAACAATAGAGAACATACAAATACTACTACCTGTTTGGCAATTTGAAAATAATAGCTTTCCATGTAAGAACAGATAAATTTCAGATTTCTTCAGCAAAATCCATGTGTGCCTTTTACAAAATATTATACTGTGTGATTACTGATTAAAAAAGTGTTATGTTCACTATAGAAAAAAGAATTTTCCAATTTTTTTTTTCACAGTAATAATTATTTCGTTATGGAGACCAGATTGTACACCTAAGTGCAAGCACATCAAGAATTTTAAAAAATTAATTTGTTTAGGCCTGCCCCAGTGGTATAGTGGTTAAGTTTGCATGCTCAGCTTTGGCAGCCCAGAGTTTGCTGGTTCAGATCCCATGTGCAGACCTACACACCACATATCAAGCCATGCTGTAGCAGGCGTCCCACATATAAAGCAGAGGAAGATGGGTGTGGATGTTAGCTCAGGGCCAGTCTTCCTCAGCAAAAAGAGGAGGACTGGCAGCAGATGTTAGCTCAGGGCTAACCTTCCTCAACAACAAAAAAAATAATAACTTGTTTAAAAAAGAAAAAGGTAGAAATGAAAAGAAGAAAGGAAGTGGTTGAAGAGAAAGTGGCTCTGAGATTTTACCGGACAATATAAGGCATAAATTTATTTATTTATACCTTTATTCCAGAAATGATTCATTTAAGGTGGCTGATGTTGTACGGCAAGGTGCTCAGGGAAGAACATGAACTGAGGGCCTGGAGGTGGTCATGGACAACAGACCAATGGAATTTTGTGACAGGGAGGGATCTGGGATTGACCATTCTGGTTGAATCCCAACTTCTCTGTAGTTGTTCTCTGAAGTCATACTTTGTGATGCAATTATCGCAATTATCTATCCGTAAGAATACAGAGACACAGTATGGTACAAAGGTCAAGGGTGGCTGATCTCAACTCAGGACAGCCTTGGCTCATATTGTGGCTCTATCACTTGCTATCTGTATGACCTTGGGCAAGTTCCTCTGTGCCCGTAAAATGTGAACAGTAATTATCGAGTAATAGTCCTAATAGTCCATGTAAAGCATTTAAAACATGGCATAGTAAGTTCTATTAGTGCTCATTACTGTGGAGGAACAGATAGTCTAGCACCTTAACAAAGTACACACAATTTACCTGTGGGTGACGTTGGGCCCAGCCCCAGATCTTCTCTGTAAGTAAAACTCTACAAGTACGTTTTTGGGAAAAAATTAACACCAAAAATTACAGCAACCAAAATTAACATTTAGCTAGCCCTTAAATTTACAAAGCACATTCAAATATATCATCTTAATAAAACCCTTCATGACACTCCAATTGGTTATTATCTCCACATAACAAATGAAGAAACTGAGGTTTAGAGAAGTTTGGAAACATGTCTATTAACAACTACTATCTCTGAACACTTCTGTGCCAGGCTCTATGAAAAGAACCTGTAAGGTAGCCATTTTTCTCCTCATTTTACACAGTAAGAAACTAAATTTAAAGGACTTGTCCAAAGTCATATGTTAATATGCAAAAGAGCAAAGACTTAAAAACCAGGTCCAAACTTTCCTCTATGCCATGCTCTGACACGTAATTCTATAAAAGCGATGGGTTATTTGTCTATATTTTTTTAGAAGATTTTAAGTTCATTCTAGTTGTCCCTGACCACTAATTAGAGAGGAATCTTTCTACCATCTTGAGTTTCGATATTCTGTTTCCATCTTAATAAACTGGAGCCACATCAAAGCTGGCCATTAGACACAACTTTTATTTCAGTGCATGGCCGACTAAAGCAGCAATCCTTAACTTCTTCTTTAAGGTTTTAAAGTAACTTTGAGACCTTCAGAACTCTCTGGGTTGCAAATCTGATAGGTCAGAAGATCTGAAATTCTCTAGGTCACCTTTTTGTGTGGGAGACTTAATAAACCAGACAATTCTAAAATCCTTTCCCTCCTCCTACAACATGCCCATCAATCTTTTCATCTTAACGTACGTTCTACTTGGAGTGTGACAATGAACCTGAATTTGATCCCTCCTCTAAAATTTACTGAGCCCTTAATTTGACCCCTCCTCCACAATTTTAATGAGTCAGCTAAATGTATGATACACTAACAAATCCTATGGTTACTAAGCCCCAGATTCACTCAATATAAACAAGTGTACGGCTATAAGCCTTACTGGGAGATGTCTATTTAAAAGGTAAGATCTCTCTGCATATGATACAGACAGAAAGGCGATTAGCATTCCCTATGGAAACACTTCAAAGAGGGACGCTTTCAGCTTAGTTTCTTAATATATAACCAACTCATTAAGGCTGTGGGTCCCCACCTCATTAGCATTCAACTCCGAAAGGATTTCTTGGCTATCTTACAAAATAACTATCCCCAGGAGTGTAAAATAACTTTCCTTTCCTATTGACCGGAGAAAGCCACAAAATTAGACTTGTAAAGTAAGACGAAGCACCCTTTCATTTTCCAAGTCACTTGGCTGATGTATGATTTCCATTCTTGTACTCCTCTGATCCTTAATGAGCAGGGGGTGTGTTTTAAACAAAGGGCTTAAACAAGTAGACCTGAAAATTCGGTTCAGCTTAGTGAAATGAAAATCTGCTGTTAGACAGCTTTCTTCCCAGAAGGCTGGAGAACCTTAAGCACCTACCAGGACTTCCTTCCCTACAGTCAGGATCGAGGTATAGGCTTCCAGATACACTCGTTTGCAGCGTCTTACAATTTCCAGGCCCTTGACTGTGATGTCCTTGGCATCTCCCAGGCCCAAGCCGATCAGGTAAAGCATTTCAAAATCCAGGGGAAGGGAGGCTGCAGGACGAAGTGAACAAGAAAACCAAATGTCAGCTACACCGAGGACGCCTAAAATCTAGTGAAGATGAAAACCCAAACAGCACGAGGAGGGATGGCACGTCACAAGATTCGAGAATCCTACTTCACGTTTCTTATTAAATAAGATTGGAAGAAGTATTTTTAAACAACCCTACCCTGCGACCTCTCTTGTTACCTAACAGCAGACAATTACCCGCTGAGAGAAACTTAGTTGGGCACCTTTCCTCCCCAAACTCTTAACCGCCGCCTCTCCACAGAAGCAGCTGCCGAACCGGCAGACTTAAGCCGAGCGAGGATCCACGCCGCCGACCTCACCTACGGTGCCGCAAAACGCCGGCGCCTTTACTGCACTTTACGACTAGCTGGAGGGGATGGGCAAGCCAGCTCCTGCGCGGGGGAGACCCGGTTCCGGCTCAACTTGTGGTACCCCGCAGGCTGCTAGGGTGGGGAGGCGAAAGGTCACTTGGCCCGGGGAAGTACGTCCAGTGCCCCTCGCGTGCCCTTTGGGGAAGGACGAGTCGGGCCCACGATGCCCTTAGCCAGTGGCTTAAACATCTCCATCCTGGGACTGGGTAAGTGCAGGAGCTCTTCACCCGGGAGGAGCCAGACACGAGGTTGGGCCGCGGAGCCCTCTGCCCTGCGCCTCTCTTCCTCCAGACACACGAGGGGGTGGCGGCTGGGAGGGACTTCTCTGCTTTGCCCCCGGGTTACCCAAGTGCACAGATTTCCATCCTCGCCTTTTCATTCAGTTGTAACCAGCTGCCTCCCCTGTGAGGTGTCAGTTTGGCAAAGCCGGCAATGATTGTGGTTTTGATTTCCCAGCGGGGCAGTGATTCCTCGGGTTTGTCTCCAAAACCTCATTTTGGAGTGCCCCAAGGGACGTAACTGGAATCTGCCTCCGTCATCTTCAGTGTCGGGAAGGCCAGACCCTCCTGTGCCTAGAGAAGTGACCTTTAAGGATGCTCAGGGATTTCAGACCTCGCCCCAGTTACTACCACAGGGGGAATTCTTGTAAAGTGGTTGGTTGGATGTAGTCCCAACGTCAAAATGGTTTGTTTTGACTGAAAATGCTGTTTGTAACGTCACTAATGACCTCAAACAAGTTAAAAAGACATTTTTCATTGCGTATCTTAGACAGTGTTGATTATTCAGAATGTTCCTGGTGCTTTTCCGACAGTGCCTCGTGTCTTTTTTGCCCAACTCAGCTTCCTTAAGCCTTGGCCTTAAGTTTTCTTCCCAGGTTCCGTCACTCTTTGCACTTCTTATACTAAACACTGTTTATGATTGATTCTATCCACTCTCATCATATCCATTCCTCACACCATAAACAGAAATTAACTCAAAGTGGATCATAGATGTAAATGTGTTACCAGTACATTGGGTTCTTACTGTCCCCTAGGATGGAAATCAAGAGAGACAACAAATGAGAGTAGAAGAGTAAAAGTTTATTAGCTTGTGTGCAGGAGAGACACAAGGGAGCCAGTGCAGAAAGGAAAGGGGCATGTGACCAGCTCGTTAGGGAGCAGGGTTGTGGCGTTCTTATTAGGCAAAGGCTGGGGAGGAGTGCTTTGTCATGGCATGTAGATGTGGAGTTGTGCTCGTGCCTGCGTTGTCATATAACATGCTACTACATGTGATGCTTGTATCATTAGCATGCTAGCTCTCCACCCCTGGGTGTGATTTTTACTATGCTAATGGGGGGCTTGGGTCAACTTCAGGGGACTCCTGGGTGCTAGGGTGCATGCATAAGTCCAGGCAAGTCCAGAAGCTGTGGAATGTGGATCTTGGTGGCTTCTAGCTGATTCTCCTAGCCTGCCACTTGGTTAGGGCCAATCTTGTTAGGGCCTTATCTTGTTAGGCCCAGAGACTTGCAGATGGCCTTGTCTCCTTAGGCTGGTTCCTGAGTCAAATGGAAATCCTAAAACAATAAAACTTCCAGAAGAAAACATAGGAGAAAGTATTTGTGACCTTCTTTAGGCAAAGATTTCTTAGGTGCAACACCAAAAGCATGATGCAGAAAAGAGAAAAATTAATAAATTGGACTTGTAGAGGAGGAAGAGAATTCCTCTACCCATTCTAGGTCCTTCTGGCTGGGCTACCAGTTAAATTGACATGAGACAGAATAACACGAGAAAATCAAACAAAGCTTTATAACGTGTATAGATGGGAGAAACCCAGGAAAATTGGGTAACTTTGTAGAATGGCCAAGCTGCCAGCTTAAATATCTTCAGAAAGACGAAGGAAGGTGTTGGGGCTAGTGGTTTGGAGCTTCAAAGGGGAGGAAGGCAATTCACATGGAAATGGAAAAGCGAGTGTTTGGTAGATGAGAATGGGCTTAGCAAGGACCCTCACAGTCTATCAATACCCAGAATTATCTATGGTGATGGCCTGTACTGGGGACAGGCCTTTTATTTTAAATTTCTTTTAGACAGTGGGGGAGGTCAAAGTTTCTTTCAGAGCCTTTGTTCTTAAAAATAAGGCGAGGAGTCAACCTGGTGGCATAGTGGTTAGATTCCCATGCTCTGCCTTGGCAGCCTGGAGTTCACAGCTTCGAATCCCAGGTGCGGACCTAGACATGGCCAGCTCATCAAGCCATGCTGTGGTGGCATCCTACATACAAAATAGAGGAAGATTGGCACAGATGTTAGCTCAGGGCCAACCTTCCTCACAAAATTAAAAAATAATAAGGCAAAGAGAGACATTCTGAGGTGGCCAATTCTGGTCCCCCACAGACTTTAACAAAATAAAAATTTATGCCCTCCAGGAAGCACTGTGAAGTCACATGCTGAAAGAAAATATTTGCAAAACATATATCTGATAAAAGACTTGTAACAAGAATATATGAAGAACTCTTGAAACACAGTAATTTAAAAAACATGGGCAAAAAGTTTGAACAGACACATCCCCAAAGGAGATACATAAATGGCAAATAAGCATTTGAAAAGATGCCAAACATCATTAGACATTAGGGAAATAAAAACTGCAACGAGATACTACTACACACCTAAAATGGCCCAAATTAAAAACAAATACAAAACCTTGAATATTCACTCTTATAATTTCAGTTCTCTCTCAATATTTTGCTGACTCAAATTTCAACCTCCCGTTCAGACCTCCCCCTCAGCATCCTATATTTAACTTTCTGCTGGAAATCACCTAGATAACCCAGAGGCATATCAAATTCAATACATCCAAAGCTGAATCCGTCATTTTCCTTTTCAACTTGGCTTTTCCTTCTGTATTATCTTCTTTGTTTGGAAGGCATTGTCATCTATAGACTCATGCAAGCCAGTCACATGGAAGTCACCCCACATTTAACCTGACAATCTGCCTGTCTTTCTCAATAAAAACCATACGTACCATCATGATCTTGGTTCAGGTCCTCATGTCACTCCTGCAGCTGGTCACCATGTCTTCCTCACATTCATCTTTCTCTCAGTGGCCAGGGAGTTCTAGCTAAGATACCATCTGAAAATGTCTCTCCCCTTCTTAAAATCCTTTTGAGGCCAAGAGGAAGTCCAGCTCCTCCTTAACATATCCCACAAGATCATACCACAAGATCATCCATGACGTGACTACTGCCTACCTCTCTAGCCTCATCTTTCTCCACTCCATACCATGAGGTTTTTCTTAGGTGATACTGTTTGTTCTGTGCCCACAACATCCTGCTTTGTGCCTCTCTGCCTTTAGTTGGGCTTCCACCTCAGCCTGGAATACTTTCTCTCATTCTCTCCTGCCTAAATCACGGCTATTCATTCTTTAAGACTAAACTCAGGAAGCCTTCCCAGAGATCCTTGGCCTAGGTTAGGTACCTCCTTTTTACTACAATAATACTCTATGCATATACTTATTGGTCAATTTAAATATTTTATAATTGTCCATTTGTATGTTTTCTTTACCAAACCATAGATTTCATGAAGTCAGGACTGTATTTTATTCATATCTTACTCATCCCTAAGGCTTAGCATGGTGTCTGGCACATAGTAGGTATTCAATAAATGTTTGTTAAATAGATCATTGTGTATCCGCTATTAGCTGAGCAATTTCTTTGAGTTATGATGTATTTTTCTATCTTTATGAAATGCAAGGAGTGGTATACTTTCAATGACTACCAAAAAGTCATTGGTGGAATATCAAGCATAAACATTCCTTGCTCGTGATACTTTGGAAAGTCATTTATGCTGAAAGCCTTATGACACATATCACATGTACTTTATATGCACATTATAAAGTAGGTAAATTTTCCATTGTACTGGTCATTTTTTGTTTGCAGATTTTCTTAGTAATTTCAGGTAGATTCACAGTGAAAGGACAGTGGCAAAAAGAATAATCCAAAGGAAGGTGTACTTTATCTCCTTTCAGGAAATCTTTGTTGAAAATGAAGTTATTCTGGGTAAAGAAATAACATATTTTTAGAGAGAAAAGTAGTTGCAGTTTTTCCTCTTCAAAATTCAGTCAAAGGAACTTATTTTCACTATAGAATTCTTAACAAGCAAACCTTTTTAGCTGCCTTCATTTCTCAATAGGAGTGTAAATTTTGGGGACTTTTCTTGAGGTTGATAAAGTAAAGATATTATGGCAATCTTTTTTCTTCCCCACCTCAACAGATATAAGCTCAAAGTCTTGCTTAGTCTTTTTTTTGTAGAATTATTCTTCGTGATTTGGATGTTTCTCCCTTGCCGTTTAAAAGAGTTTTCAAATATGATTGCGTTTTCCCCAACAATGTATTAACCATTTCAAATGTAGAGAAAAGTTGAGACAGTTTTACAGTAAGTGTTTACATATAGCCATCTCCTAGATTCTACAATATTAACATTTTGCTGTGTTTACCGTATCACATATTTAGCCATCCATCAGCCTTCAACTCATGTTATTTTTCTGATGCATTTCCAAGGGAGTTGCAGACATAAGTCTGCATATGATTGCATTTTCGTGAAAGATATACCCCTCATATGGGTAACAAATTAGCAAAACATACCTAAGCATATAGCTGATTAAGTGATATCATTTCTTCACCAAATTTAGGGGGGGCTTTGAGAATTTTGCTTTAAAACAGTTTCAAATTAGTATTTAATCAACACTGTAGCATTATCTTATGATAATGAAAGCAGATAGAATACATATTTACACTGTCATAGCAAATTTGAAATCTCATATTTAGCAGCAGAAAGGGGGAATGGTTATAGAGATCCATGATTCTAGCACAAAACAAAAGGAAGAAGTAAAAGCCTTTTTAGTTGAAAGAATAACAAGGATAGATGAGGCTTGAAGAGTTTTCTGCTTTCTGTTCTGCTTTAATATGTAGGACAATACCAGATCATCCATGAGGGTGAACATCAATGCTTTTCCTGAAAGATCTTTCAGATGTCTTTATAACCTTTGTTAGTAACTCATTTTTAGTACCTTTACTGTCAGAAATTTTTCCTTAAATCTAATCTGAGAACTTCACGCAGTAGATGTAAGAGGTTAATAGCGATGACTTTTGCATTTCATTGTCATAAATGCATCATATAATAGTTTTATTTTAAAGTGATAACGTAATTGAGGCACTGCCTTACATTATGAGCAAATT